CTGAGAGTTTTTGCCAACTTGAAAAAATACCCTTTAATTGCTCCTCAAAAGGGCAAACGGTTCATTTTCAGAACTTGGAAGGAAGAGCAATTCAGATGAAAGCATTTTAAAGTTCATACCAAGGTTTACAATATTGAGCTCAGAGTGTTTGCCCTGGAATCAATGATTCAAGTGGATGAGGGGTATCAATAGTGTTTTATTAGGCTTGATTCCTGTGATAATCTCCTTCTCTGAGAGTGGATGCCAATCATCTGGTCTACCAAGAGTGTCTTGGATTACCAAGATGCCCAGCAGGGAAGGTTAGAGGGATAGATGTGTGATAAAACAGAAAAAGCAAAATGTTCATGGCAGTGTGTGATGTGCGGTAGGTGATGTGATGGAGTGTGAGTGGTAACTGGAACTTCTTTCAACCTTTTCATATGTTTCAAAGTGTTCATAATACAATGTTGGAGGAGGGAAGCCTCTGGAACTGCAGGTTAGTGGGACTTTCTTTACACTTCTGTTTTTTCAGCTCGATGTGGTTTGGTTTCTTTTCTAACATATAATAATAATTAGGTAATACAATTGGTGGTCTAAAACCCAGGCTTTAATTTTATTTGTGTCTTATTTAAAATGGTGGCGGGGCGCCTGGGTGGCGCAGTCGGTTAAGCGTCCGACTTTAGCCAGGTCACGATCTCGCGGTCCGTGAGTTCGAGCCCCGCGTCAGGCTCTGGGCTGATGGCTCGGAGCCTGGAGCCTGTTTCCGATTCTGTGTCTCCCTCTCTCTCTGCCCCTCCCCCGTTCATGCTCTGTGTCTCTCTCTGTCCCAAAAATAAATAAACGTTGAAAAAAAAAAAAAAAATTTAAAAAAAAAAAAAAAAAATAAAATAAAATAAAATGGTGGCTATGCTGCTGAATTCAGTGTGGGAACATTTTTTAGGGACAACCACTGTAGAGAAGTGTGATGTATTATTACTGTTTTTACTCACATAGAAATACTTTTGAGGTGTTTTCTGATTTCTAAGATGGGGAGATTTCCTCAGTGTTACATGGTTAAATTGTAGGCTTGCACACCCCCTTATTTGCAGAGTATTATTCATTGGAAAGCATTCTTCCTTTTCACATCCTTCTCCCGTGGTTTAGACTAGGTTTCTTATAAAATGTACACCTTTATATTGTTATTGAGACGTTTCTTTGTTAGTTTTAGGACTGGGTAGAGTGGTTTCTGGTGTATGGTAAATAGTCAGTGCTTACTAAGTGAATGAGTAGAAGTTTAGGAGAAATGGGGGAGGGGGCTTTTCCTCCTTTTGCTGTGAGAAACTAATTGCCCTAATTTTTTGAATTTTTTGAATGATGTATAAATTATTTGTAGGGTTAATACATTTTTAGAAATTTTAGAAATATTCTAGGAGGATTTTATTTTTAATGCAAACTATTTATAGGTGAGAACCATGTGAGAACAGGGAGTCCAGAACAGCTCCCAAAGCAAAGACAGGGGGCATTGCTGCCTATAGGAGTGGCTGCCATTTTAGGAAAAGATGAGATTTCACACCTGCTATCTTTGTGGGTTTTGTCTAGTTTTTCTGAAGATTAACAAAGGCTGAGTTTTTGTCTTCCTGACTAAACTTCAGAGGACCACAAGTAGAGTGGACACTAAAGGTAGGATCACACTTTTTTCTTACAAAAATCAGGAGCAGAGCTTTTTCTCCTTGCCTAGTAAAAAGGCTCATGGCAAAAAAGTTATAAACAAATTTGAAGGTTTTGAGATAGGAAAAACATGTAGGATTCTGTCACCTTTTAACTTTTTGACCTTGTGAACTACAAAGGTGCTAAAAGAAACTTATGTTTATTGAAAGGTAGCTTAGTTTTAATAGACCATTAAACATTCTGTTTAGTTAGCTAAATTAACATTTTCTAAAAGCGTTTATTTTTATTTATTTTGAGAGAGAGAGAGCAAGTAGGGGAGGGACAGAGAGAGAGAGGGAGACAGAATCCCAAGCAGGCTCCGCACCATCAGCACAGATGTGGGGCTCGAACTCACGAACTGTGAGATCCTGACCTGAGCCGAAATGAAGAGTCGGATGCTTAACCGATTGGGCCACCCAGGCACCCCATAAATTAACATTTTATAGTTGACTAAATCGCTATTAAATCTCACTAAGCTGATTTTTTTTCAAAGCAGATCTCAGAGCCAGAAGTGAATGAAGTCTTCAGAACTGGACAACTTTGTCTTATAATTTGGAAGGGGAAATATTTGCTTCTACTTTCTAGCTAGCACTACATTTTTGCATGCTGTATCATAGTGTTTATGTGCAGATATGCCACGAAGTTCCCACTTTTGTCTTTTTTCTCATCAAATCATGCTAACAGTTTCTTACGTATGATTAGATTTCCACAGTGCAAGTTCTTCTGAAGGAATAAATAGAATTAGCAGATGCTATCCAATGTACTAGTTACTTCCAGATACCAGTAGACTGGTGATACTTTTATGTCATAAGCATGCTGTAAGACACACTATTTTCTCTGTGAAGAAAATACTTCTCTCCCTTGATCATAGTCTTAAAATCCTGGTGATATTTCTGTAACATCATTGCCATTCCTCGAATTAACTATATACAGAAAGCTTATAGACATGTTTAATCCAGGCTCTTTCAGAAACCGTGAGTCCTCTTAAATGCTGTCGACAAAAATAGAAAAGGTACAGTGACACGAAGGCTTTAGGTTACCAGCACCTTTCTTGATCCAGCAGATTTCTTTGAGCTTACCCCCTTGGTTTAGAATACGAGGAGAGAACGGCATCCGTGCAAAAAAGGATCAAGGGAGCACTGTATTTTGTAGTACTTACAGGTGGCTGGAAATGAATGGGGAAAAGAATTGATAGATTTTGTAATAAAGCAAGCAGTTTAAATTTTATAATGGTAAATACTCAAGAGTAGAACTTGTACATGTAGAGTAGGGATCAGCAAACTTCCTCTGTAAAGAGCCAGATAGTAAATATTTTAGGGATTTGCTTGTGATATGTTCTATGTTGCTACTACCACTCAGCTTTGAAGTTGTGGTGTGAAAGCAGCCATCGATGATATGTAAATGAATAACTGTGGCTCTGTTCCAATAAAACTTTACTTATGGACACTGAAATTTGAATTTCATATCATTCCCACGTGTCACAAAATTCTTCTTTTGATTTCTTTTTTTGCTGTAAAAACCATTCTTAGCTCACAGGCTAAAATAGGTGCAGGCTATCATGTGCTGACCCCTAAATCTCAGTTAGTGATACTGCAAACTAATAAAGTGTATATAACGTGCTGATGGGATAGCGTATCTGTTCTATAGCTTAATGTGCTTTTTTTAAGGCCTGCTTACTGTGAAGAGGAGTTAAAATAATATCAAATTTGGTCTATCTTTGAGGCCAGATGAGGATAATAAACTGGTAATATGAGAGACTGTGTAGTAGAACTCAAGGGAGTTAGACCACTGATGTTCTTAGGAATTTACTAAAAATACAAAAGTAGCACCATTAAGTTCAGCAGGCACAGTTCCTCGAACTCAGAAGTAGGAAGGGTGCAGTGCTCAGGGAGGATGGCCTCTGGTTTTACCCGCAGAGCTCCTTGAAGATTCTAAATCCATCAGAATCCAGTAGTATAGTTTTGTGACACATTTCTTACGACAACACCCGAGAAAGTTCTCACTTATCAGTACAGAAGAAAAGAAAATGAAAGAATGTTTAAATAAATCGAGTTATGTTTTATTGGCTCTTGCTGCAGCAAATTTCTTGGATCTCTTCAGAGATAAACTTAAGCGAGGAAAGAGCACAGCTACTTAATTTAATCAGCAGTTTAAGGATTTCGTGTTGGCAAGATATTTGGACATGTTGCAAAAATACAAAATATTTTCACATTTTTGATCCAGAAATGTAGACTGGGATTTTGCCAAGCCTATTGCTTATGCAGTATGATAAGAATGTTTCTTCCTTGCTCTGGTTCCTTCCATCTTTTAGAGTAGGTGAAAAAAAATGGCGAGTTTGGAAGGAAACACTCCCAATCAAGGGAATAGCTAAAATTGTAAAGAATAGGGAAATTTTTCCTGAACCAGATCAAATTTAATGGAGATTAGGCCCAAGACATTGCAGCATCAGAAGAGGCAGAATCAATTGTTAGTAATAGCTCAGAAAATGAAGTAAATTGAACAGAAGTCTACAGAGCAAAAGTTGTATTTCATTGGCTTCAAATGGAGTTTGTTTATACCTTTTTATTTTTAACCTTCTGTTTTGAGAATGAATTTTGTTGTGTCCACTTCATATCGGGAAGACATTAAATTTAGAAAATGTAACTTTGGTCGTACTGACTTTTTTCCTGTTCATGGATTTTTGTTTGCCGCTTTGTAAATGGGAACAAAACTTGAGAGATGCTACATGTCTTAGAGTTGGACAGTTTCATTTGAAACCGAGAGTTAACAGTATTTAAAAAAAAAAAAATCATTGGTAAATTTGTGTTGTTTAATACATCCAACCAAGTTGAGATTAGTTTTGTGAGCCTTAATAAATAAGTTTTTTTTTTAAAGTTTGTTTATTTTGAGAGAGTGAGTGGGGGAAGGGCAGAGAAAGAGAGAGGAGAGAGAGTCCCAGGCAGGCTCCGTACTGTCAGCACAAGGCCTGACGTGGGCTCTATCCCACGAACTGTGAGATCATGACCTGAGGCAAAATCAAGAGTTGGACATTTAACCGACCGAGCCACCCAGGTGCCCCACTAAATAACTCTCCAGTGCTAACCTAACAAAGTGACTTTTGGTATTTTTTAAGTATTTTGAAATAGAAGTATAAATTTTGGAAGTTTCCCTAGGTTTTGTTTTACAGGAAAATAAGCTTTCCTCTGTGGCTTAATTATGAAATTTAATTTCTGATTGGCTAATGAGCCGGAGTGAAATTAGGCAAACGGGATGTTCTGATTTGAAAACCTGAAGAATGGACGCTGCTTTGGTTTTGACGGGATCTGATGTGTTCTCTTGTGTTTGTCTCTTTTCAGTGAAACCAGCAGTGTGTGTAGCAGCAGTGACACAGGGCTCTTTACCAATGATGAAGGACGGCAAGGTAATCTTGATCCCAGCTTTGGGATGTTGGTTGAGTATTTCTGGGAAGATTTGAATGATTATAGGAATACGTCACTGAGAATATGGTGGTTGTCTGTGGCAGTGGTTCTGAAACTTTAAGGCATATAAGAGCCACCTGGTGAACTGTTAAAACTGCACATTCGGAGGTCCTACAAATCAAATAGATCTAGTTAGATTTGGCTTTTGGAATCTGAATTTTTCACAAGTACCTGCAGTGATTTTCATGCAGGTAGTTTAGACTTTGAGAATCATTGATTAGGGGGATAGCGGATTAGGGGGATAGTGTCAAGGATAGGACTTTTGGAAGTTGCTTTTAATTAGAACCAAAAAATATCCTTCTGTATTAGCTCCTTCATTGGATATTAAGACATTCTTATTTTTACATAGGAAGAGTTTATTTTTATAACCTTGTTTATAAATGATCATAGTGTTCTAGATGAATATATTCTAGAAAACATCTTCTTTCTAATGTTAAGACTTCTGAAATTCAGTATAGAACACTGTGGATAAGACTGGTATAATTTAATTACCAGTTCTTTATTTTTACAACTTAGTCATTTGAGACTTTGTTTTTATCGGGTACACTTGCTTAGAACCATACTAACTATGTTCCAATAAGAGTTTCATATAGCTCCTTTGGACTGTAATTCTCTTCATCTAAGTAAGGGATTTGTAGCTCTCTAAAGTCCCTTCTAGCTCTGGGATCCAGTGATTTTTCTTCAAGGGTTAAGTGATCAAAGGACAAAAACACAATGGCTACATGTCTAGGCTGATCCAGAAGAGATCCTGGGACCGTGAGACTCCGGATCCGAGTTCTGATTTTGGAAAGAGATTGCGGGAGGTTATCTCCCCCATACCTCAGAGTTGCGGGCATGGATGGGGTTGCTGAGCTTCTTATTGTAATGGAGGTTATTGTGAATACATTTCTGTCCCTTTCGGATTCTGAGGGAGCTAGGTGTCATTAGAGGCTCTGTGTATATACTCCCAGATTGGGTGCAACTAGGGTCTTGATTCTTTTGTCTTTGCTTGAATGAGCTAGTGTATACAAATTTTGCTCTTTTTCTTTGCTTTTATACTGTTCTATGAAGTATCATAATGTGTCTCTTAAAGATTATGATACATAATTATACAGAGGTGTAAAAAAGTGTGGACCTGTTATGACAGATTAAGTTTCAGGCCTTCAGAAAACCTTTTTACTAATAAGCATTCCTTGCTTTATCATGGAAGATTTTAGAATATTCTATAGCCCTAGCTTTCCTTTCTATCTCTGCTTCAACTTCATGCATTCTGGTGATATTTGGATACTTAGAGTTCTCAGCACAAAGCTATGTCATTTCCTGCTTCCATGTCTTTGTTTATGCTGGTGTCTCTGCCAGAAATCTCATCCCCACCTTTTTTGACCGGTTGGTCATCCACCTAGACAGTTTTCGTTTTGCCCCTCCAGGACATATTTATGGACTGTGTCAGTGGGTTGTTTTTTTTCCCTCAATTTCTTATTGGATTTGGCCAATAGGAGGCATTAGCAGAAGATTGGAGGGAGGAAGGTGAATGAGACTGAGTGTATTTGTTAAGTTTTTATTATGGTAATACTGTTTAACAGCCCCAGCATTTCAGGGGTTTACTTCATTTATTTCTTGCTATGGGGCTGCCTGTTGGCTCAGGCTCAGCTGATCTAACCTGGGCTCAGCTGGTCTCCAGGCTTTAAGTTAGGTTTGTATCTATCTACTCAGTGTATCCTGTCCTGGGACCTCTGCTGGAAGAGCAATGACTGTTCTTGGCAGGGACTTTTCCTGGTGGAAGACGTGAATGCTAAGTGACCAAACCAGAGCTTGGCGACCAAGCCATATTTAAAAAAGCTTTTGCTTGGATCACGTCTGCTAATGTTCTACTACCCCAAGTGAGTTATATGACAAGCCTTATGTCAGTGGGAGGAGGAAGTATGCTCTGCCTGAAGGGGAAGGCTCTGGAATTCTGTGGGTAAAGGCAGAAGGCATGGATGTGTGTTATCACAGGGAGGTAGCGAAGAGTTGGAGACAGTAATACAGTCTGCGACTTTGGATTGTAGCTTTCTCGGGCTCCCTTTCTGTTGGACTGCTGGTTGGCAGTGGTGGTGTTCCTCTGCCAAAGGCCACCACCCCTGCTGGCAGTCTTCTGTAACCTAAGCTTTCTCTCTGGTCTCTAGTAACCATTCTCTCTCCTTGCTGCTTCAGGTCTAGGAAAGGTAAAGACTTCAGGGTGCTTCACCATCCCTTATTGGTTCCTCTTAATACTATCTACTCCTTTGTAAATAGTCACCTTATTGAAGTCTCCATTACTACATTTAAGTGTGTGCACATTTCCTGGAGAGAATCTGGCTGGATGTCACAGTCCGTGCAGGCATCATCTCCTAGAACCAACCCTTGCACTTTGTTTCCCTGTACTTTTTTACCGCTTACCATAGGACATTATTCATAGATGTGTGCCTTTTCCATTGAAGCTTTCTCAAGGTACGAATTTTTTTTATTTGCAACTATAGTAGGTAACACATTGCCTGGCATATAGTAAGCTCTTAATAAATGGTTATTGTGAAACTCAGAAAAGGGGAAAATTCTCCTCTTTCTCCCTCAAACAGAATTATACATAGAACCTCAGATTATGAAACAGATAACCTGTTTTGTTAAAGCGTGATTCTAGAGGAGCAGGAATTCTGGAACCTGACCCATCAGCCTCTTCCTTATTCTCCGGCAGTACTCTTCTGGGGAGCTGCTGCATCATGCATCCACAGGAGCCCAGGGTAGGGGACTACTGGTCTAAATGATTTCACAAGGTTTTCTTTGGTTCAGTGAAGCCCTTTTTGTATTGTCAAAAATCTTGAGTGGATGCTTGAGTATCAAAAAAAAAATGCCATTATGGGATGCCATTTGTCATCATAAAATATTATCTTAGCTAAATATACTGTTTTAATAAATGGCTTAAGGAGTGTCTATGAATAAGAAAGGAATTAATATATTGACATGCAGAGAAACTAATCATTGTTAATTCTAATGCCTATCTTTAATCCATCTATGCACCTGGTTTAGTAAGATGCTTTTAGAGCAGTAGTTCTCAAAATGTCCTGAAGTAAGCGCAGCATCACTAGGGAACTTGTTAGAAATGCAAGTTTTTGATCCTGCTTGGACCAGAATCAGAAACTTTGGGGATAGGACCCAGCAGTCTGTGTTCTAACAACCGTTTTTGTTAGTTCTGATGTACGTTGAAGGTTGAGGGCCACTGTTCTGGAGAAACAGCCATTGATGGTATGTTTTTATAAGGGAACACTTACTTACTTTTATAAGGGAACACTTACTGTTTTTATAAGGGAACAGTAACTTCTTTATGAGCATTTTCATTTTCCCTTTTAGAGATCTCCACAATGAGTTAAGAGTTATCATTACCATGGATGTAAGTGGCCCGTGAATCTGATACTTCATGTGCTTAACATGGCCTGAGCAGTTTCCCTAGGATCTGACACACATTAGAGAATGAAGGCATTATGAATACTTTAGATGTTCTTGTCATGAATCCCTTCATCCTTGGTATTTTGAAAGGAGTATGGGATGGCAGACATGAAGTTATCAGTCTTACTACTCTTTGTGGGTGGGAACAAGGTCTCTTGCAAACTGAGATGCTGTCAGTGTAGCCAGTAGAAAGAGGTTTGAACCAAGAGTCTGGCTATATGGGTCTAGTCTTGACTTTGTCACTAATGACGAGTTTGGCTTTGGTTGAATGGTATAACTTCTTGACAGATCTTGGGAGGTTATATTGCTGGTCTCTGTGGTTAGTTTTTTCCTGGTTACTTGGATTGCTAGTGTCAAGATGATTTTCTGTTCCATTAATGTCAGGGTACCAAGGAATAAATGAGGTATGGGTATACATTTTTTGTTAACCTACTATGAGAAATGCAAATGTAATACCTCAGGAATAGCTAGTTTTGAATTAAGAAACATTTGTGGACTTTGAACTCCCAAGTTCATTTACACCACAGAATGGTACATAGGAGGCAATTTATTTTTGTGTTACAGGCTTTGGAGTTAGTCACGCTTTGGGTTCAGATCTTGGCTTCATCATTTACTAACTTGACTTTGCCTTCTCTCACTTTAGTTGCCTTATAAGTTGGAATTCGTGTAGGGTTTAGAAGAGATAACATGCTTGCAGATTTTTAGCATGGACCCTCATAGGGTGGTAAGGGTTTAGTAAATGGTAGCTTTATTAGTTTTTTACTATCAAAAGTAGTCCAGTGTAACACAGTATTTCATTTACGTGAAACTAGTTTGGTACTCTAGTTTCCATCATAATATGGATCAAGAAGAAGGTTCAAAACAGTTTTTTTGTACTTTGACATTATTTAAAAGGTATCATCAAATCTGTAGTTCTGAGAAATCATCCTTGCATTTGGTTTTCCATAGAGCATGTTACAATTCCAACTTATGATCTCTTTACTTTAGGGGATGATGAGCAAAGTGATTGGTTCTATGAGGGAGAATGTGTCCCAGGATTCACTGTCCCTAATCTTCTGCCCAAGTGGACTCCTGATCGTTGCTCTGAAGTAGAAAGAATGGATTCTGGACTGGATAAACTTTCCGATTCCACATTCCTTTTACCTTCTCGACCAGCTCAAAGAGGTAAGTTCTGAGGAGACCAAACTATACTTCACACTTTTATGGTTCTCTTTGGGGAGAATCATCCCATGGCAAGCATATTCATGCCTCTAAGCATGTATTAACTATCTGAGTTTTGGAGCTAGTCCAGGGATTTTTCTAGAAGATTCAAGGGTGAGTCTTAAAACTTGAGGTTCTCCATTCATACGTAAATCCAACCCGTGGAGACTCTTGGGATATCTATTAGCAGGGCATTCCTTCAGCTTGCTATTGCCATTTGTGCCAGATTTAGGAAGCCTAGCAGCGTGTCACTGCTGCTTACCTGCTGTGAAACCGATGAGCTATGGAGTGCTCAGTGGGAGCCTGAAGTATTGGATCTTGGAAGAGAACAGATTTCAGTAAGAACATTCACAGACAAGGTATAATGACATTTTTTAATTGGATGATTTAAAAATATTTCCTTAAATTATTTTATTATTGTGGGCTTTCACACAAATACATCCTTTCTCTTTGCTTTTCCTTTACTTCTGATGCAGCAAGGTAGAGTGGGAAGGGAGAAGGAACTGTGGTGATAATACTGTCTGGTACTGTCTTCCTAGCTCGGTTACTATGACAGAATCACTTCATTTCTTTGGGACTTCAGGGTCATTACTTAAAACACTGTGATATTGAACAGACTGTTTCAGAGGTTTCTTTTAGTTCTATAAATTTATGATTCTGAGATTCCCAGGAATCCGTTATCAGGTAATAGTTGAGCATCTGTTGGTGATCAGAATTATGCTCAGAGCTATAAACCCCTATAGCAATTTGTTAAGATGAATTTGGGTGATTGAAAGTCCTTCTCAAAATAGTGGGCTCTTGGTAAAGATTACTGCCAGGCTTAGGCACACATTTGCTACCTTAACAACTTCCATCAAACATTTCAGTGACAATTTCTGAAAGTTCTTTATGGACCACTTAAAATACACACAAAGAGGAATAGGGAGAACAACTTAAGATGGCCTGTAATTCCATACCCAGAGACAGTGTCAAGATAACATTTTGGTGTGGACTCTTCCAGTTGTGTTTTTTGGGTGTGGAACGCATGCAGTAATTAGAAAAATGAGATTTTACTATACAGGCTATTTTTACTGTTATTTTATGGCATAAAGTGTTTTTGAGATAATAACTGGCATTTAATTTATAATTAGAAATTATTGATAATGTCTTCTATTTGTGTAGTGTTTTTGGTTTATAAAGTACCTTCCGTGTGCTGTTTCATGGAGTCTTCAAATGAGCTCTGTGAGACAGGATTGAGCCAGTGATTATCCCTCCTTTACAGGTGAGGATGCCTAAGTCAGAGGTAAATGACACGCCTAAGATCATACCACAAACACATGGGAATAATAAATCCTTGGAGGATAGCCTAGTGATACAAGCTTTAGGGTCAGTCTAGTAAGATCCTGGGAGGAAGGCCTGTAGTGTGCTAGAAGCACATCATTGCTAATGAATCTTCTGCATTCCGTTTCTGAGGGCTTTCTTCTGTTTTTTAGGATATCATGCTCGCTTGAATCGTCTGCCTGGAGCTGCAGCTCGATGCCTCAGAAAGGGCCGAAGAAGGCTTGTTGGGAAGGTGACAGCTCTCACTGTCTACTGGGCTCACTGGGAGGATAGTATTCCCTACAGGATTTGTGTACCCTGTTGCTAGTCAGAGGTGCTGCGGTACTCCCTGGAGTAAATTAAGCCAACTGGAATCTTTTGCAAGTTCACGAGAGAGAACCTTATGTAGGATGTGAATGGATACACACATAAGAGATGAAGCTTAATTCATACAGAAATTTTGACAGAGCAAACACTATCATGACAGTTTGTTTATCTGTAAATCTATAGGCCTGATCTTGTCTCTTCTCCTCGTTTGATTAATCTTATATTATTATATTATGGAAGTTAAAATAGTCTTGGCTTCTTTATAACTCCTCCTGAATTCGTGAATGCTTCTTCTGTCCTAACTTTGGTCTTTTATTCTAGAATTCATTAAAAAAAACCCAAAAAACCTGAAAGAAAACCTGTTCTCAATTTTTAAAAGCTCCTTGGCCACAAGGAAGGGATATCTACCTTTATTCAGTTCTGCCCTTGCCAGGGACTATACTGGGCACTGGGCACCGAGAAGGTATTGCCTTCTACCTGATACTACCTAGACAGAAGTGGCAGAATAGAGAATTGAACCCAGCTGTACTTCTGTTTTCTCTTTTAAAATTCAAATTTAAAAATTTTTTTAAATTCATTTTTTTACTCTAGCTTTGAGATTGAAAGTAGGTTAAGACTGGGGCTCATACCCTGTTAGAGAAGATGGTGGTGGGCTAAGAGCGAGCAAGTGAGAGGCATTTCAGAGCATTACTGCATTCACTGCACATGCAATTAGAATGCCTACTATGTGTCAGGCTTTGTGCCAGGCCAGGTATATAGTGATCACAGCCATAGCCTGGCTACCCTTAGGGAGCTACTTTTGTAGTGGAAATAGGGAGTTGTTTTCTGAGATTTTAGCTATGTAAAAGGAATGAAGCTATTTATTTCCAGATGAACTCAGATTTTTTATCTTTAAATTTAATTTCAGATCTCTCATTAGAAAGACATTTGATTATTGGAAGAATTATACCTTCTTCTTTTGGCTCATTTATTTTACAGAAAATAAAACGCTGCTTTTGCTATCCTGGGAGCTTATTCTTACTTAATGGGCCAGCTAACAGGGTAGGAGTACATGAGGTAGAGGGAGGCAGGAGGTTGGGAGTAGGGAACAGAGAGGTGGTTTTACTTTTTATTAGTTAGTCTGGAAGGGTAATGTTCTCCTTACTGTCTGCCTTATTTTGTCTCATCTCCTGTAAAATAAGAGCCTTCCTCTTTTGTGGAAGTAAATCATTTCGTCTTGAAGGCTCCCTTTAGTTTGCCTGGAAGGAAACTCTAGGGCCTGTTGGACGTGCCTCCAAGAATTTCAGATGAATAGGATAATATTTACTTGTTTCATTCATCTTCATCACCTTAAAGGGATATTTGTCATTTCTAGCAGAGGTCACTGTTCTGCCCCCCCCTCCCCCTCCCCCACCTCTCTTCTCTTTTTCTAAATTATAATCATAAATAATGAGTTTCATTCACCGCTCCCTGCCAGCGAGCTGCTAATTACGCAAAGTACTGCTTGTAATTTACACAGTAATAAACTGTAAATTTAAACATTACGGCACTTTAAGTTAATAATTTTTCTGCAGTAACAAATAGCTCATTTTTCACCCATCTTTTCTGTTGGCCCCACTACTATGGCTGTGTCTGTGACCAGGAGGCACGTGCCTAAGGGAGGAAAAATGTGAAGAATACACTATGTGAAACCTTTTCATTTAGCTCCACTCCCACCCAGAATCTGACCTCAAATTAATTTTTCTGGAGTCAGTTCTGCTAAAATGCGTACCCTAATATTTTAGGCTAGTCCACACAAATGAACTAGCGATCCACATAAATGAAAAGCGATCATAATGTTTTCCCAGAAACAAATGTGTTTGAATAACAGGCTTCACATTCTTGACAGTCATGCCCATGACTTATGCGTTCTCATCTTCACACTTACTCATATGTGGGTACCTCTTATTTGTGTATCATTGGTACCCTTCCCCAGGTACTGTGGTGACATTCATTGTAAATATACTCAAGTTAAATGAAGGGTGAGTGCCTTCTGCCATTTTCCAATTTTTTGGAGATGATTAGTTTCTGAATTGCTTTTGGTGTTATGGGTAAGCTTTCATATTACAGTCTTGAGAAACCTAAATTTAAGAACCAATTTATACAAACTATTTTACTTTAAGAGATGATGCTTAACAGACAAAAGGCAGGGTAGCAATTTTTGTAAGTTCTAAAATTCCTTTAACATGTATGCATTAGTCACCAGATTGTAGGTGTTACCAGTGAGGCCTGGGTAGATTTCCCATTATGAAGGCTATTGGGGCTGTAATCATACTTGCCTAGAAGCTTGGTGTGCTAGCCTATTAAAAATTGGCTGCTGTTGGACTTTTTTTTTTTTAAGTGTTCTATTTCCATATACTTTAATAACTTGCTGTATTAAAACATATAGTAAACAAGGTTTATAATGACTTTTTTGGAACACTGGGAAAAATAAGGCTAGGATCACATGTAACACTTTTTAAGATAGATTCCCATAAAAAGAAATAAACTTGCTGTTAGATTTTAAGGTTGACATTTGACATGTGCCTTTGAGGTTGCTGGCACAGTTGTGGGAAAGTGTGAGCCTGATGACAGATCATACTTTATTTCTATGGTTAGATGACACTCTTGTCTTCCTTGCCTTTTCAGGAGACCAGCATAAGTACGTTGGGTACTGAGAGGATAGGCCACATTATTAGTGACCCTCGGCAGAAAGAGTAAGTGCTGCTTATATATTTACTTATTATCCCAGCCTGTTCCTTGGAGGAGGTAGAGGGAAGTTTTATGGAGGAACCTAGAAATTGGGCTTTAAAGCTGAACGAGAAGATCTTAAAGATTTGTGCTTTACCACGGTTAACATGGCTAACACCCCAAACCCATGAGAGTGATTTTTTTCCTTCCGAGACTAGTTTTTCTTTCTTTGCTGTTTGTATGTACACGTGCTGCATTATAAAAGTAGCCTCCAGTTAGGATGTTGTTTTTTTTAACTAATGAATGAATTAATTTACATTGAGGTAAAGTTGGTATATAGCGTTACATAAGTTTCAGGTGTATACCATCATAATTCAGTATTTGTATCTGCTACAAAGTGATCATCACCATAAATCTAGGTACCATTCATCAGCATAAAATAGAGCCCTTTCACCCACCCCTCAACCCCCTTCCCCTTGGTAACTACCAATCCATTCCCTATATCTATGAATTTGTTTTGTTTCGTTTTATTCATTCATTTTGTCTTTAGATTCCACATAAAAGTGATATCATACAGTGTTTGTCTTTCTCTGGTTTACTCATTTAACCTAATCCCTCATGGTTCATCCATGTTGTCACAAATGGCAAGATTTCCTTCCTTTTTATGGCTGAGTAGTACTCCATTATTATGTATGTGTGTATTTATGTATACACCACATGTTCTTTATCTGTTCATCCATTGATGAACACTTAGGTTGTTTCCATACCTTGGGCTTTGTAAATAATGCTGCAGTGAACATAGAGGTGTATACATCTTTTCAAGTTAGTGTTCTCATATTCTTTGGATAAATACCCAGAAGTGGAATAGCTGGATCATATGGTAGTTCTATTTTTAGTTTTTTGAGGAATCTCCATACTGTTTTCCACAGTGTCTGTGCCAGTTGACTTCCCACAAACAGTGTACAAGGATTCCCTTTTTTCTACATCCTTTCCAGCACTTGTTATTTGTTTTGTTGATAATAGCCATTCTGACAGGCGAGGTGATACCTCATTGTGGTCTTGATTTTCATTTCTTTGATAATGAGTGATATTGAGCATCTTTTCATGTGCCTATTGGCCTGTATGTCTTTGGAGAAATGTCTGTTCTCATCCTCTGCCCGTTTTTTTTTTTTCTTCTTATTTATTTTTATTTTTTATTTAATTTTATTTATTTTGAGAAAAAGAGGGCATGCATGAGTGGGGGAGGGGCAGAGAGAGAGAGGGAGAGAGAGAAAGAGAGTATCCCAAGCAGGCTCCATGCTGTCAGTCCAGAGCCCAATGTGGAGCTTAATCCCGTGAACCGTGAGACCATGACCTGAGCCAAAACCAAGAGTTGGACACTCTCCTCTGCCCATTTTTTAATGGGATTGTTTGGGGTTTTTTTGTTGTTGAGTTATATGAGTTCTTTATATATTTTGGATATTCTTTATTGGATATATGGTTTTCAGTATCTTCTCCCATTCAGTAGGTTGTCTTTTGGTTTTATTGATGGTTTCCTTTGCTGCACAAAAGCTTTTTAGTTTGATGTCGCATTTGTTTATTTTTATTTTTGTTTTCCTTGCCTTTGGACTCAGATCCAAAAAATAAAAAAATAATAATCAGAAGAGACCCGTGTCAAGGAGCTTACCACCTATGTTTACTTCTAGGAATTTTATGCTTTCAAGTCCTACATTAAATTCTTAATCCATGTTAAATTAATTTTTGTGTATTGTGTAAGATAGCGGTCTAGTTTTCTTCCTTTGTATGTCGTGGCCAGTTTTCCCAACATCGTTTATTGAGGAGACTGTCTTTTCCCCACTGTATATTCTTGCCTCCTTTGTCATAAATGAATTGACCATCTATATGTGAGTTTATTTCAGGGCTGTTTATTCTGTTCCATTAGTCTATATGTCTGTTTTTATGCCCATACCATACTATTTTGGTCATTATAGCTTTGTAGTATAGTTTGAAATGAAGAAGTGTGATGCCTCCAGTTTCGTTCTTTTTTCTTAAGATTGCTGTGGGTATTCGGGGTCTTTTGTGGTTCCATACAAACTTTGGAATTATTTGTTCTAGTTCAATGAAGTATGCCATTGGAATTTGAATCTGTATGTTGCTTTAGGTAGTATGGACATTTTAAAATGTTAATCCTTCCAGTCCATGAGCACAGAGTATCTTTCCATTTAGTTGTCTTCAGTTTCTTTCCTCAGTGTCTTAGAGTTTTCAGTGTACAGGGCTTTCACCTCCTTGATTAAATTTAGTCCTGGGTATTTTATTCTTTCTGATGTAATTGTAAATGAGACTGTTTGCTCATTTCTCTTTCTGATAGTTCATTATTAGTGTAGAGAAACACAACAGATTTCTGCATATTGATTTTGTATGCTGCAGCTTCTTTGGATTCATTTATTAGTTCTAACAGTTTTTTGGTGGAGTCCTTAGGGTTTTCTGTGTATGGTGTCATGTCATCTGCAAACGGTGATAGTTTTACTTCTTTCTTTCCAGGATGTTATTTTTTTTTTAATCTATTTTTTAAATGTTTATTTATTTAGTTTTGAGAGGGGGAGAGAAGGAGAAAGCAGGGGAGGGGCAGAGAGAGAGGGAGACCGAGAATCCCAGACTCCGTACTATCAGCATAGAGCCTGATGAGGAGCTCAAACTCATGAACGGTGAGATCATGACTTGAGCCGAAGCCAAGAGTCAGACGCTCAACTAACTGAGCCACCCAAGCACCCCTCCAAGATGTTACATTTTAAGCTCATTTTTCTGTCTCTTAAAATTCTTTTGTTCAAAATGGGTGATTGCCTGTATACTCTCCTGTGCTTTTCCCATGTTTAGACTTCTATCTAGAGAAATAGAAATCTCTTTTGTCTTAACTGCTGTGGTAAGTGCAGCTGGAAAGCCTGTGTGCAGCTATAGGAAAATGATTCCTCCCTTTCTTATGACAACCTTGTCCCCTAACGTGATTGGCTGTTTGTCTCCTACACACTTGAAAGTCAGTGTCTAGTTATGATCCTACACTCATTAGCCTGGTCGAATTCGTAATTAACAAAATAGGCAAGATATGGGTATGGTTTGCGTTCTTGTTGAATTTGGGGATCCTCTTATCACCACACAGCTGAGATTATGGTGTCACACCATAATCTTGAGTTTGTTTTTAGAGGGTCCGCATTTCACATTTCATTACAAGACTTTTTCCTTTGAAGAGTTATTTTTCACAAGAAGTTTGTGCACGTCTACCATGTCTTTTCTTTTCTACAGTTCCTTCTTTTCCCCAGTTCTTTCTGTGTCTTCACTTTGTTATGCCAGAGTCCTTTTTTCTTCTCCTCCTCTATAATTTCCAACCACTTCTTTTATTTTCTTTCCTGTTCTCTCCCTCTCTTTAGTTTCTGGTTACCGTCAGCTGGGAAAAGAGAACGAAACCAGGTAAGATTGCTTTTCTTTGTCATCTTTAGTTTATCATTTGATTTCCTTTTCTTTAGAAAGAATAAAGCATTGGCTTCTGATTTTCCTCACATTTCTGCTTGTGCGCATGAGGTAAGGTTCCCGTTCCCTGCGTTATTCTGATTTCTTATAGAGGACTGTTTTCTAAAATTTTCTGATATTCACTGATAAGAACTATAGCTAATTCCCCTTTTTAGGTTCAACTGTGCTTTTCAGTTTATTACTTATAATGTATATTTCATAGGAATCCTGTTTTTATTTTAGTTTTGAACTTTGCAGTAAGAAATCAGAATGAACCTCATTTGCGTATGGTTTAGTTCAGCACCAGCATCCTACGCTGAGAAGTACAATGGTGAAGCCTGAACATAGGAGACAGAAGAAGGTAGAGCTGCTGTGAGTGAAGTAGTGGGGTCAAGGCCTTAGAGCCGTGCCCTCGTAGTCACTTAGTCTTTTCCCCAGCTACCCCTGTGGAGGGCCCTTGGCAAATCTAGGCCTTTGTAAGGGTCATAATTTAAAAATTACTGCCAGTGACTATTGATGCGTTCCTTTCACGTTTGAAGCTTTTGATTTTTGGGGGGAAGAGAGGTTGCTTTATCTTGATTAGTTATAAAGTAGATAAAGACTGGTAGGTAAAAATCTCAGGCTTACTGTTGCTCAGTGTTTTTTGTTTTTTGTTTTGACCACTTAGGACTTATTAAATTGCTGTGCAGTTTAGACTTGAAACCTTCCTCTTGAGGACACTCTTTCAAAATGAACCAGAGCAGGGGTAGACCTAACTGGTGTGTATTCGTGAGATGCTTTTAGATGGTGTGTGGACATACAGTTATTTTAAGTTATCATTTGTAATTGGAAAAAATGTCATCATCATATCAAACTTGTTCCTTAGAAACATAGTAAGGGCAGGCTGAGTAAAAATAATTGGTATGAAGAAAATACTAAGTAAATAACAGTGCAGGTTGTGGGCAGAGAAAGAAGTCATTAAGGCGGTGAGAGACTGCAGCTTGGGAGATCCTGAGCCCGAGCACTGGTTGCAGGGGAGGATCTAAAGGCAGAAGAGGACCTGTGTTGATCACCCAGTCCAGATCTGTTATTTACAAAGAAGATTTAAGTGATTTGCCCAAAGTCCTGCTTCTTTCTAAGTTCTTTTGAAATTACCATTCAGAGTTCTTCTGGTCTTAAGATATATTTAGTTTTGAAATTTGGGGGTGAGGGGCATTATTTGTTCTAGGGAAAGTCCAAATAAAGCTAGAAAATGGAAAGTAAGGTACTTTTTTTATATATTATATCCAAGTTTGACCCTCACAACCACCTTTTGAGATGATTAGAAGTTTTACAGAAGAGAAACTGGAATTACCGGCTGAAAGCAATATTTCATTTATGCCCCCGGTAATCCTGTAAAATAGGTAAGACAGCAGTGCACCCCCTCGTACAAGTGAGGACAGTAAAACTCAAAAGAGATTATGTAATTTTTAATGTATGAAAACTCAGTGATAGACTGAAATTAAGTGTTAGGTATTCTAATTCTTAATCAAGTTCTGTTTCTACTACACTGCAGCTGGTATGTGCTAACCAGTTATTTACTGGAAACATTGGCCGGGATAAAGAAAGAAAAAGGTAGTTTCATGCTAGTTTTCTTGGGAACAAGGGCCAATAATCAATAGATAAGTTCCTGTTATGTCATATAGAAAGCGCTATCTTCTGCCATTTAAGTAATTACCAGGTATTAGAGGTTTTTGAAAAATTGTTATTTACCAAGGAGTAGCCTTTTTGGGGGTATGTGGGATCAGGTATGCTAGATTTGTGGTTAAAACTTTATTGAGTGGTGTCTGTTATATGGCAAGAGAGTCGAACCGTCAAAGGGGCAAAGTGATCAAACAGAAAGTCACCTTTTAGAATCAGATCTTTTTCATGTAAGCTTTGCTAAAATAATCTCATTTATCCCTGCAGTTTAATCCCCTCTCCCCTCTCTACTCCTTGGATGTTCTGGCTGATGCTTCTCACCGAAGATGTTCACCAGCGCACTGCTCTGCCAGGTAATAGTCTTCTAGCGATGATTTTCTTCCAGACAATACCATTTCCTTTTTTATAATACTTTTCATATTATAAACTATGTTTGTGTATAGTATCCAATTTGATCTTTACAAAAACCTTTAGAGGTCAGTAGATGTTTTACAGATGCAGAAACTGAGGCACAGTATTGAAGTACCTTTCCTGTGATCTCACGGCTAGTATATGATTTCTGTCTCAACTGTGACCTAAGTCTTCTGACTTGTATTTCATATTTCTTGTGCTAAAAGCCCCATCTTCAGAGAATGTTATTACCGGTCCTTGCCATGACCTGCAAAACTCTGCGTAATTTGACTTCTGCCTGCATATCCAGCTTCCTTTCATATACTCCTTTCTCCTCCCTGGGGGAGAGGTCCAGCTGTGCTAGAGAGCTCAGCTCCATTTTGTTCGTCACAAATAGCAACCCTTTTCTGCCTCTGAAGCCTCACACTTGTTCCCTTTGCCTAGACTGCCGTGTTAAGCCTCTTCTCACGGTTGACTACTTCTCATCTCAACTCTGGGAGGACCTCTCAGACCATCCTATGTAAAGGGGCCACCTCCATCACTCTCCACTCATCGATTTCTTTCTGCTAAAGCTTTATCACGGTCTATAATGATTTGCTTGTTGGGTTCCACCCCCCCCCCAACTTTTTCTCCTGTCTCTTTCACTACGATATAAGCTTCAAAGTGTAGGGACCTTGTTTTATCTTGTTCCCTGATAATATCCTCAGCACCTAACACAGTGTCTGGCACTTACTAGACATTTGGTATGTTTGTCAGAATGAATCCTACGCCTCTCAGTATAAGTTCTCTTGAGTTAGGTGACATGGGAAATAAATATGGTTTTAATGGTAGCATCCCCTAGCAGGGTTATTGTGCACAAAAGAGGAGCTAATTGGCTGAACCGTAGAACTTTTATTATTTCTAGTGGCACAAAGAATTCCTTTCCAAGGTTCTGATGTGTTGTTGGTTTGTTTGTTTTTCTTTTTTCTTCCTGATTTGTTCTTATTTGGCTGTGTTCATAAGATTAGGGTACAGGCACAAGAAATTATACTTTCATGGATGCAATGAGAACTTCACTATGGGCTATACTAATAAACTCCGCACCATAACCTACCACCAACTACCAGACCTTCTATTGGAGAAGTGGCGTTTCAGTGGAAAAAGTCTTTTGAAAAGAGAGACCCTCACAAATGGTGTTACTAGAAATGTGGAAAATTGTGAGACGATTAGTAAACTACTTCCATAAGGCCCTCTCTTCAGTAGCACGCTGTTTGTCCGTCGTCCATTCCTTCAGCACTTGCTGACTGCCTCCTGGGCCCCAGGCCCTTTGTGTAGGCACCACCCTCAGGAGCTTACATTCTCTTGAGAAAGTCAGGTGTGGAGATTGATAGCTACAGCGTGGAACGCCAAATGTGTAAAAGATGTGTGCCAGAATGCGAGGAAGCACAGAAGAGAGGCTTCTAAGAGGCTGAGGGGGGGTTTCTTAGAGGTGGTGATCCTCAAGCTTGAAAGACCAAGATTTCAGTCCATAGAAAAGCAGTCCTTCAGCTTTTTGTCTTCATACCAATGGAGTCATGGCTGTGTCTACTCTTTGGGAAGACTCTGACTAGCACTGTATTGTGTCCGATGCAGAAAGCGGATTCTTTGCCGTCCTCCCTCTACGTCTGTTACCTAGACCCCGTGCCGTCCTGTGCTGAGATCAGTATCCATGCATTTATCAGTCAGGTCTCCTGTTGCCTCTGAAGCCTCATCCTGGCTGGAGTGGGTGTCAGTTTTTTGTCTCTTTGTGTATCTCATTATCCACATCGTTGTCTTGGTTCTCTTGCTGGTGGTGCTGGTGGCCAGACTTGAAAACATAAGGCAGTCTGGGCTGTGCTTCCGGTGTAGTCTGCTGTAGAGAAATATTGCTTATTGCTTTAGACCATTGCTGAAAACAAGGTGAGAGGGTCTGGACAATGCTAGCTTATCCTTGTCCTTCTAGGTGTCATTCCCAGGACACTGGAAGTAAAGTGATGAGTTGCATTGTTTGGGGCAGGGGAAGACATTTTTTAAACTTACATTCACTATCTGATCCTTAAAAAAATGGTTTTTTGTTTTAAATTGTACATAGAAGAATCCAGCAGCACATAATTTTGTTTATATGTGTTACATACATAAAGAGTGTGCAGATCTTTTACTCGTGAGGGTGCCTAGTTTGTAAAGTTTGGCAACCATGGCTCTGTGGGAAATGGCTAGCACAAGTGACCTCTAAGCAATTTTTAGAAAATGTGGGTGATGAAATCCTGAGCCCTCAGGGCATCCTCTCACTCCCTTGAAGTTGGGGTGGGGAGGAGTTCCCTGCCCAGCAAGGGGTCAGTTGAGAAGGAGCCATCTAGCTCCAGTGTGGCTGAAGGATGAGATGGGATCCAGAACTGGATGGTCAGCTTTGTACAGCGTGGACACCATTTAATAAAGCCTGGAGTCTAGGAAGGAATGTTAAAAGAGTGTTGGTGGCAGGGAAGAGGCAGGTGAATGACTGTATTAAAAACTGTTTCGAATGGAAATTTTATCTTTTTCTTGTTCCATTTTATTTGTAGTAGGAAAAGATTTCTTTCAAAGCGTCTGGGCAGCCCTGGGAATTTCACACCCATCATTAGAACGATTTGTGTGTGTGTGTGTGTGGTGACTATGTTATCATTAATGGTATAATTTTATTTTGCGAAGAGAGAAGTGTTTCCTGTTTTATCACAGCTTTCCCCGAGGAGGGCTGGTGTATTAATTTGCTGTATTGCCTCCTGGCTGTTCCCAGGCTGTTTTTCCTCTTCATCATGGAATTTTTAATGGCCCTGGTGCCTCTTGGGAAGCATGTGAGGAAGAGTTCCTCAGGGAGTGCTTCCCTTTTTTCACATGCCTATAATTACTCTCCTTTAAGAGCACAAAGAGTTTGATAATCATGCCTGAACTGTGAAGGTTTCCTCTTGTCGGGTTACTGAGCTGAGGCTGCTTCCTGCCTGGACATTGCCTGTTCCTCTCTCCCACACACTCAACTGTGAGAGAGTGAGGACCCCTCAGTCACCCCCTCACTGCTGGCACTATTCAGCTCTGGTTCTCAGAGTGAGGCTTGGGGGCCACTGGGAGGCCATGACCTCAGGTACTCTCTTGTTTAGTATGTCATTGCTATAAACAAGGAAATCATGGGACTGTGATTTTAAGAGAACACTACTGATGTGTCATTTTAATACAGCCCAGATGGCAGGCAGGCACAGTTGTTGGGCAAGGGAGTCTTTGTGGTCTTTGTACCACCTAATAGATCTGTGGGTTATGAGGTTTTCAGAAATACCACCCTAGAAATAATTAAATTTGGTGGTTTTCAACCCTGACTGCACTTTTGAATCACCTGAGAAGCTTTAAAAAATATGTCCATGTTGAGCCCCACCCCAGAGATGCTGATTTAACAGATCTGGGGTGAGGTCCAGGCACTGGCATTATTTAAAGTTCCCAGGTGACCCTAATCCGTGGCCTGAGTTACAAATTATTGCCCTACCTGCAAATGGTTTTATGACTAGTGCTTTGTAATTTGCTTAACAGGAAATCCCATTTTGTAATTGTGATTTGGTGTTGCGTGCATGATTCCTTAGGGGAGGTAGGACGCTGGACTCGTCTTCCCTTGGAGAACTGCCGAGGTGAAGAACAGGGTGTCATGGCCTAGCATGGTGCCCAGCACGTTGTGACTCACCGTCGGGGGGACTTGCTGGGCAGGTGTTCGGCTTGTCAGCAGGGTGCACGGAAGAAATTTGTCAACCCACTGTCTTGGATTGGTTGTTTTGGTCACTAGTATTGGGATGTTGCATTAAAGTAGTGATACTTGTTATCGGTGGTAGGGATTGCTGCAGCTCCAACAGCAGATGGTGTGATTGGTGTTCTGGTGGAGGCAGCGGTATTGCTGTCAAGGACACGGTTCTAGAATGGTAATAAGGAGCGAGTGCTGGAGGCAGCTTTTCCCAAAATGAGAGATTTATTGATCAGGAAGGATAGCTTTTCTTCCATTATTGCTGTAGAAAACCATAACTAGAACTTATCAGTTGTTAGATCTGTCTGTGTGATGCTCAAGTCCTCCGTTGTAGTTTTTGAGTGTCTTGTGACAGTTCTCAGTTTTCTCCAACTGTCCTGACCTTTCCTCTGTTGGGGGTGGCGATTTGATGATGTATCACCGCTTCCATTTATCCTTCTTTTAAGTTTCTGATCTCATATTAGTGGGAGTCCTGGCAGTCCCAGGTAAGAATCTTAGCTTTACCTGGGCAAATGACTTAAACCCCCTCTCCCTCAATTTCCTCATCTTTAAAATGGAAATAATCAATTTTTATGGGGCTAGTGGGGATCAAAATGAAACAATATATTTGTTTAGCATACTGGTAGCTAATATTATTTTTGTTACATGGTTACTACTTCTCCCCTGTCTTTAGGATAATTGCAGTTTTATAAGCTTTGAGTCTGCTTCCAGAGTCATTTGCTAATGAGATGTCGTACAGATCCTTGAGGTGCTTAAATGGCTTAAATGGACTATAAGAGGAGGCATTTGGACAGTGTTTGGGTAAAAAAGAGACCTTTCTGCCCATTAGAGAGTTGAAATATGATAGGCTCTGCTCATTGTAATTCATTTTATCTGTTTCACAAACGTTACGATCTGCATATCAGAGTTGTGTGCCCAGCTGGCTGTGCCATTTGACAAGGAGTTTCAAAGAGCAAGAAGAAGACTCAATTCACGCTGTTAATTTTGACCTTTGGAGCCACAGTAAACAGCCTCAGGTTTTACCTCAGGGCTTAGGGGAAAGAACCTTTTATTAGTCCTCTATCTGCTAGGGATGCTGTGACGCACAGCGGCCCTTGCCCATCTCTTTAGTGCCTGAGTTGTGGCCAGGTGTGAGGAAATGTTTCTGCTGTGATATTGTCCAGAAAGCTGCCCAGCCCTACTGGAACTTCCCATCATAGAGTACACAACTCTTGA